GGCAGAGTGCATGAAGGGAGGAGAGACAGCTGTAGGAGGAGGGGCCGGGCCTGGTCAAATGAGGCAGAGTACTTGGATTTTGTTGGATGAACAATGGCAACAATTCAACTATGTCTTGGTACCCATTAAAGGTGAAAAATTCCAACAATTTAATATCCCTTTTGGACTATTTAATTGGGTTCAAGCTACAATCCTGAACGTTTTTCATTAAGATTGATAAGCCTGTTTGGAAAGATGGGATGGACTTTTCTGGAAATATGTTCCAAGGTCTTAGAAGACAAATTCCCTCCTTTCACCCCACAAGCAGTTTGCCTTGAAGCTGCAATCCTGAGCCCCCATGCACACCCATGGCCCTTACTTTTACCATAGCCTATCTACCTCCATCTTTCCTTCTCAGTGATTTTGGCACACATGAACAACACAATCCTGAATATTCCAAACTCACCTTCCCTTTTTTTTTTGAGATATACTTCAAAAAAACCCTCAAGACACTGCTCTGGACAACAGCATGGTGCTGGGCTGTGCAGTGCAAAGGAAAGACATGGAGTGGGGTGGGCAGTTTTAATAACACTCTTCCTTTTTATTATAAAATACATTTGGTAATAGGAACATTTATAAATTTTTGATGCCATAGAAAACACATGAATATTCAGCTGTAAGTCTGTGCATGGAATATTCTATTGTGTGGAGTCTGAGCCTGGCACTGCCACCTGGGAATGAATTAATTTGGGGATCACTGTGTCTGCGTCGAAACTCTGCCATGTGTGGCAGCTGGGACACCTTTATCATGTTGTTTAACCCTTCCACCTCCCTAGGCCTCATGGAAATGCATCATCTGCACTTTCCCACATAGGTGAATTCAATTTGGCTTCATACTGGAGTAGTGAACAAATCCAATGCCTACCACTATCAAGTCTTGCAGGGTAACAGTAAGGTGGCAATTGTCTCAGCCCAGGCCACCTCACTGACACTATTGCTGGAGGCATACAAGTATAGGAGGGGAGACTAGCACTGCCTGTTTTGATCCTTGGGACTGTTGGTGGCTATATTGAGGAGTGCCAGAAGGTCAGGGCCTGGCAGTTCCTGCCCAATCTTGGATCTGGAAGTTTTTTTCCAGCAATTTCCATGGAGGGGAGAGAAGATGAGGGATGGGGATCTGGGTTAGTTGTGGAAACCCTATACCAACAAGCTGTCCATGCTTTGACTTCTCTGCCTCTGCTCTACCCCTCAAAGGAGAAGCTGATGTGGGTCGAACAGATATCAAGAGGGAGGCAATATTCAGCAAAGCCAGGGAGCTCTGGAAACAGGTTAACCTTGTGTCCCAAATCAGGTGCCTAACCATTGAGTAGTCTATAGGGAGCAGTACACTAAGGACATGAGGCAGAATGCCACAGCCCCTTCAGAGCTGCCTGGTGAAAGAATTTGCCAACAAGGACAGCCAGATGGCTGAACCTGGGTCCTGGCCATGAGGCCTGTCCTATCTCTGTACCTCTCCCCTGGAGTCTGCCTGGCTCATTTCCCTTTGTGCTCTCCCTCACATCCAGGAAGAGCCTGCGAGTAAAGATGGGATGGACTTGCTCGAGCTGTGCACTGGGTTACATATGGCATGTGAAGCTGGCTGGGAGGGTAAAGGACAGAAAATATTTGTTCTGAGTAGTTCCGGGTGCTGTGTCCCTACATCCATTTGAAGATTTCCCTGATATAAATTTGTGCTGTGAGCTACAGTGCCCTGTGGGGATAGCCTCTTCCTGTTTCAGCTGTGGCTCTGCCAGCTTGATCTGTGCTAGGCCTTGTTGATTCAAATTATGCCCAGACTTGTCCAGTGCCCTAACACAGACCATGATGCTCAATTCTGATGATACCATTCTTTAGCCTGGTCAGCCTCTCACAAAGCCCTTGCCTAAGAGTGGACAGCTTTGTCCCTGGCCCTCTGAAGGTAGGGAATTAGTTTTCCTGACTGTGACCAGAACAATGAACAAAAAGATGGCACCAACTGATTCTAGAGCCACTCATCTGCTGACACAACTGAATCTAATGTCTGGGCTGGGAGCAATCTGCAAGAAGCTTTTATGTAGCACTATGGACACATCAAAGCAGGAATTTGACCCCAGAACTGTATAAGAGGCTACAGAGAATCCACTCTGCACAGTTTGACTTTGGTAATAAGCTAAACAACTGGACAGCTTTGCATTGGAGCTCTAGCTCTGGGTTTCTGGATTCTCCCATCCTAAGCTAAGTCTTCCTTGGAACCAATCTTCTGGGGAATACCTGGGAGAGAGTCAGACTGGTCAACACATCCCTCTCCCGCTATGGCAGCCTGCTGTGAAGCTGAGAAGTTGAAGAGTTGACTGGAGGGTGACCACAAGATTCCCCAGTTCAGGATCCCAGTGTGCAATACAGGTTGTGGTGAATCCAGTATAAAAGCACCAAGATGGGATGTGGATATGCTTTGGATGTGAAGTGTCCCACAAAAGCTCCTATTAACGCAGGAGGTGAAATAAATAGATTAAGAGAGCTGTAACCTAATTGGTCCATCCTAGTTTGAATGGACTGGGTGGTAACTGCATTCTGGAGGAGGTGGATCACTGGGAAGTGGGTGTGCTCTGCAAGAAGGTTTCTTCCCTGACTCCTCTTTCTGCTTCCTGGTTGTCATAATGTGAGCAGCTTTCCTCTACCATGTCCTTCCTCCATGAAGTGCTATTTCACTTGGGCCCAGAGTAATGAAACTGACCACCATGGACCAAACCTCTTAAACCTCTGAAACTCTTTCTCCTCTAAGTGGATCTTGTCAGGTATTTTGGTCACAGCAATAAAAAGTTGACTAACATAGGCTAAACACTGATTTCAAACAATAAGCACAACCAAATGCTTCCAGCCTTGGCAGCGTTCAGTGCTTTAAGCTTTTGCAGTTTGTGTTAGACAACATTACATTGCAGTGACAAAATTCCTGAGGGGGGACAAAAACAACTTAAGGAGGAAAGATGTATTTTGGATCTTGGATTCAGAGGTTTCAATTCATGGTCAACTGGCTTGGCTCCATTCTATGGGCCCACAGTAAGGTGCAGCATCATGGTGAAGAGGACATGGTGGAGCAGAACTGCTTACCTCATGGTACCTGGGAAGCAGAGAAAGAGAGCAACTGGCTCTGAACAAGAAATCCCCAAGGGCATGGCCCCAAGGACTCACTTCCTCTAACTAGGTTCAACCTACAATTTCAACCACTTTTCAATAGTTCATTCAGTTATGAATGATCTAATCAGTTATCAAAAGTCCCTCTTCTGAGTATTGCTGCATTAGGGACCAGGCCTTCAACACTTGGCCCTCTGGGGACATTCCAGAGCCAACCTATAACACAATCCCTACCACTCCATTCATGTGTCCTCATATGTTCTAACAGCTAGTAGGAAGGATGTTATATCCTGTAGTGGCCTTCTTTTTCCAGCTTACAAAACAGAAACCCAAAGAACTAAAATGACTTTTCAAAGGTAGAGCTGGGCCTCTGACTATGGGAACTACTGATGCTGCCCAGTATGCTGCTGAGCATCCACTGTGGTCACAATGCTTCCAGGCCAGCTGAATAGCTGGAAGAAGCCTGCATGCCACAACCACCCTCCCCCATTCCCTATAGCTAGGAAGCAGCTTTTGATTCCTGAGTCTGTGCCACTCTACATGCTTGAGAACAGTGACCTCATGCTCATGTCACCACTGGTATGTGTTTGTAATGATTTGGATGTGAGTGTTCCCCAAAAGCCCACATGTGACATAATGCAAGAAGTTTCAGAGGAGAAATGATTGGGTTGTGAGAGTTTTAATTCAATCAGTGAATTAATCCCCCGATAGGGATTAACTGATTGGTAACTGTAGGTAGGTAGCATGTGGCTGGAGGAGGTGGACATTGGGGTATCTGGTGAGTGAAGTCTCTTTCTCCACTTCCTGATCATCATATGAGCGGCTTTCTTCTGCCACACTCTTCCACCAGTATGCTCAGCCTCAACTCAAGCCCCAAGGAATGGAGTCAGCTATCCGTGGACGGAGACCTCTGAAACCAAGAGCCCTCAAATAAACTTTTGCTCCCCTAAAATTGTTCTGCTCAGATGTTTGTGTCACAATATCAAAAAAGCTGACTGAATCAGTGTACCTGCATGTTAGGAGGCAGAGCAAGTACTCTTAGGTCTCTTCTTTAAGGACACTAATCCATCATAAGGGACCCACCTTCAGGACCTCATCTAATTACCTCCCAAAGGTGTCATCTCTGTATACCTCACATTGGGGCTAGGGCTTCAACATACAAGCTTGGAGGGAACATGTTCAGTCCCATAAGATCCTGGTAGACACCACATTGTCTAAGGAATATCAGGCTACTTCTGGAGATGTGAATCCTAATATGCCCCTTTATTTTCCTTGCCATTGGAGACCGAGGGTTTCCTTTACTTTCTTCTGACAATGGTTCATGACCTTGTGAAAGGCACATAATGACTTTTGTTAGACTTATACCAGTACTTCCCACCCCACCACTGTGCAGACAGCTGGGAATATGTTCTCCTTGGTGCCTGACCAGCAAACAGAATCCCTTATACTCCAGAGAGCAAGCCTGCCAATAAAAATGGCTATAGAGAGAACTCACATGCAAAGGGAATGGGCACATCGTCCTTTAGTATCCAGGTTCACCTCTGACTTCACATGTACAGTGCAGGCAGAATTATCTACTTTGATCAGGTCGCTTCTAGGTCAATTTTTTTCAGGTCTGGTGGCCCTGGGAATGCCCTCAGTGTCAAGAAAAGGGCCAAATGCCTAGCTGTTCAGAGGGCCATATGGAAAAGCAGCAGCCACTGGCCTCTGCAAAAGTGGCATGGGACAAGAGTATGAATAAGAGGCTAAGGGGAGCAGGTCGTATACAAGGTGTCCACCTTCAGGAAATGAGCCTTTCATTAGGACCTTGACCAGTCAGCTGAATCAGTAGCACTCCTAGGATCTAAAAGTTGGTCATAAATTCAAAGAGATTTGTAGTGAAAGAAAGTGTTTATTAAGCAAAAAAGCTAAGATTATTTTACCTGCCATACACCATTGTTGAACTGATTTTAGGTTCCCACAGTTGGAAACTCATTCCTGCTAGTTTCCTTAGCAAGATTCTGGGGCATAGGCAGCCTCAGAATTGTAGCCAAGACTGAACAGTGTCTTACTAGATTGCAAATCATCCTAACAATGCTTTATGCTTCTGGCAGAAACATGACTTTGGATCTTGAGTGGACCACAGCCAGCCAGCCATAGTGAAACATGTAGGTGTAAAGCTGGGCAGGTGACAGAAGACTCCTGCTGGGGTCTGGCTATAGTTACATAATAGTGAATTAGGGATCACATGCTGTCTCTACAGCACAATTTCCAACAAAAGGCTATGCTTAACAAACCACTATGAACACGACTTTTCAGGAAATAACAGTAAATATCTGCCCCCCATCCCCACTCCAAGGGACGTTGTGTACCCTGCATTGTCCCCTGACTTTGCAGACCTCATGGGTCTGTCCCCATCCCCCACCTTCCTGTCATGGCTGGGGATTAAATTTCTGCTGTTACTGCATCTCCAGGTTCTCCTGGATCTCCCAGATCTCCTGAGTCTCTGGAGTTGGAATTCTCAGAAGACTGGATACTGTTTGGTACTTCCAGCTTGGATGTAGCAGCAGCTTCAGCTTCGATAGCATCTGGTCCCCGAGACCCCTGAATATTTACATCTGGTGCTTGCACCTGCCAGGAAAAGTGTACAAGGTGAAATTGTTTGCTAGAGTCCCTAGGTCCATTTAATGATGATGGGAAAATCCCTTCAGTTCAAGGCAGTAAGCAGCTGAGAAGTTGCTCTTTGCAATATGAGCCTTTGAGGTACCAGAAGAATGGTGAGCTGGGGAAGATAAGGCTCCTCCTCTCTTCTCTTTTCCAGCAGCATCTTAGGTTAAAGACCAAAAGAAATAGACCTATACTTTCCCAAACTTGCCTTAAAGCTCCCAGATTTGTGTCAGGCCCTCCCCTACCCAGCTCATTGCAGCCATGTCTCCCCAATGCCCCATCCATGGGCCTTGGACACAATTATTTCTATATTGACCTTGATTTGATTAGTCCACTTTAACAAAGTGACAGGAGAGGTACCAGACCACACTGTGGTGTGGAAGAGGACAGACACAAAGATGGGGTTGCAAAGAGCCACTTGTGGGGATCTGTTTTGACATGATGCAGGACTTCAACAACTGGAACTCAACAGAGTAAAGCAGAAGCCAGAGGGATAGGAGGAGCAGAGCTGTGTTCTGGGCAGAAATTTGGAGAGTTGAACCTACTGGGGGAAGTGGTGCTGAGCCAGGAAAGGCTGTCCTCAGGATGCTCCCACATTCTCCTGTCTTGGGCCTCTCCACTACTTTCTTCTGACTGAGCAACTTTCTGGAATCCTACCTTCCCAACTTCCCTGAGCTATCTGCTCAGATTTTGCAGCTCAGGGCCCCATCCAAGAGAGTCAGCACCTTGAAAACAGGCATAAAGAAGGGTTCTGACAGAATCTGGTTTGGCAATGGAACCATCAGATCCATTGACTGATTGACCATTCTGATCATTTAGAGGGACTAACCACATGAAGAGATCAAAATGGCACTGATAGCCCAGCTGGCAACGTATGCATGTGAAAACAGCTGCTTAAAAGGTCTCAATTATTTCATTCTTCTGTAGCTTACTGTTTGTTTTTTGTCTTTGTTTTGTTGCCTGAAGAAAAAAAAAGGTTAAGCTACATTAAGTTTTTTTGGTACTGGGAATTGAACCCAGGGTTACTCTACCCCTGAGTTACATACACAGCCCTCTTTATTTTTATTTTGTACCATTTTTTTTCAGAGACCAAGATTAAGCCCAGGGTCTCACATGCTAGGCAAGCACACTACCACTGAGCTACATCTCCAGTCCTTTTTATTTTTACTTTAAGACAGCTGAATTTTTAAGTCTGGACATTCTCAAACTTGTGATCTTCCTGTCTCACTCTCCTGAGTTTCTGGGATTACAGGTGTGCACCACCAGGCCTGGCTATATTAAGATTTCTAATGCCATAATGAAAATACCTTTTGCAAATGTTGTTTATCAGTAAGTTTTAGTGTTTGTAATCTCCAGGGCAGTCTGCTGGGAGCTTACCTGGGAGGAAAACCTCTGTGTTACTACTTATTTGTACCAGCTTTCATTCTGGAAATGTGGCCACTGTGGATGGTCCCCAAGATGGGTGTGTCCAGCCTAATATAAGCACATCATAGATGGAGTCCAAGCACATTCAACAGTGGGAACTTTGGGGTGTTTTTTTCCACTATGAGGAAACACACCCATATTAGGCTCTAGATTTTGGAGCAGAATTAAAGATGTGCAAGTTCAGAATGGGGCCTGAGCTCAGGTAATGAGCTTAGCATTAACACCATGGCATGGATCCAGGTGACATGTTTCTGAGAGAAGTTTCAAGGTCAAATTACATTTAAGATCCTTTGGGACAACTCACATTTTTTTCAAGGACTCTTACAGAAAATAGTAATTTCCTCAAATTCATTGAATTCTAAAGTCTGGATTTCATATGTAGAGCATGCTCCTGCGTTGTCACCTTATGAGGAAAAGGCTCAGGATTTCTCTTGACCTAAGCTGGAAGGAAAAGAAGAAGGAGACAGTGTACCTGCTGCCAGGTGGGTGAATCCTGTGTGGAGTTCTGATCATTGGAGAGCCAAGTATCATGTTCATCTAAATCATGTGGACTAGGTGGCTCTTGCCACAGTTGCATGAAATCCTCTGGAGTCTCCAGGGCATCTATGCTGGACGCAGTGCTTACAGGAGATTGAGGAAAGCAGCTCAGAGAAATTGTCTCTGAGCTTCGGCTATGAGCTGATGGTAAAGGATCCATAAAGGACTCATCTTGCTCCTCAGGAAAAAGACTGTAAGAAAAAAAAAAACTTTGTTCAGTGACACTGATCTAGAAATGATGGCCCACAAGACATTCTCCTGGCCATTAGCAGGTGCTTGGGGCAAATTTGATTTAGGTTTAAGACTTAACCTGTCAAAGTCAAGTGAATTTAGATCCTAAATGCACAGTCATTTCTATCAAGTGGTTCTTTTCTAGTATGAGAGCAGTCCATGTTCTTCCATGACTGTGCAAGCCATTTCACCTACCTCAAAATCACTAAAGACACTGATGCATGAGCAGAGACTACAAGGCAACTTTCCTAACTTCAAATCCAGTGTCTCTCCATAACCAAAACCCCAGGGAATCTTGGGATCAATGCAGTTTTCAAAGACCCATCCCAAACTCTGAATCTGTACTTTCAAAAACTTCCTTGGGAAGATTTTGATTATCAGGCCATTTAGAAAAACATGGCACCAAGCCCACTCCAAACATCAGGGTCACTGATTCTAAAGTAAGGCCTAGAAGGCTTTGGGAGGGTGACTCAGAGAGTTAGCATTTATTAAGAAAATATTGGGTCCCAATTACTAGGCTATTCCTTAATTGTTGAGCAGAATCTTCTCTTTCCAGCATTTGAACTAAAAACTTTATTACTGAGCAAAAATGTCTGCATGCCTTCTTACTGCTACCCAGGACCCACTCTTTTGTGTTCTTTGCTCTTCACAGCAGTAGAGCAATTGTTTCACACCCACTTCCCTCGTATCCATGGAGACCCCTTTGTCTGGTCTACTGTGCTCACCAGAGTCCAGTAAAGATGGGGAATGAATCTGAAAGCACAGGAGATACTCAGCAACGACCACTGAAGACTTCTCTACAAACAACCTGTACTCTGATAACAGGTTTGGGGAATGGAGCTAATTCTCCAGCTTTGGAGCCTCCTCATCTTGTCATTTTGTTGTGGAGGCTCCTCCATTCTATCACTACTTGCTTAGCTAGACACCATCCATGCAAAGACAAAGAGACAAAGTAGCCACAGAGAAAGATGAGTTGAGACCAAGTTTTTATTAGTGAGAGAGCTGCTGGTGCCCCCATGGACACTCTCAGACACAGTATCTAGCCACATGGAGAAAGCGGTGATCTCGGCCCTTCTCCCCACTCCATACACTTTTTACCTATGACTCTTATCCTTGTGATCAAAGTCTTCATCGTTATAATAGTCAATGGTCTCTTGCTCATCATCTTCTATTTCAACAGGAGAATCAATGGGCTCATCCTGCACAAATATAACAGGGTTAATGCAGAGGTATAGATATGCCAGGTTGGCTTTGCAAATATATCTGCATGATCTGTCCCTCTTCCCTTCTGCTATGGCTGTTTCTTCACCCATTGTTCCAGTACCTCCTCCTGCAGCTCCTCCTGAAGGTATTGGTCTTGTTCCTGAAGATTGTCCTGCATCAAGAGACAAGAGATAAAAGAACCTCAGCATCTACAAGAGTTTCCCAGAAGTGTATTTAACACTCCCACTCCATTCTCACAAAGTAGAGGACAACAGGAATCCTTTTTTTTTTTTTCTGTGCTCAGTGGGCTGTGTGACTGTCTACTTCTTTGGTGGGACCCTGGCTGCAGTCCTGATAAACCAGTGCATATACACACAAAAATGTATGTTGTCTACCGTATGTTCAGGTCCAGTTAGCCTGGGATTTTTACTGCCTTGGGCAAATGTATGGAAGCCTACTGGGCAGCCATTATTTCTTTAGGCAAACCAAGCGAATACAAATCATCATGAAAATGAGACCTTCCTTCAGTTATATGGTTAAAACAGGTTTTCTATACCTGTGTGGAAGAAACACAAGTTTCTTCAAGGTCCTCAGTGTACTTGAGACAGCTAAATGAATTACGGAAACGTTTGGCCTCCTTGAAATCTGCAACAGATCTCTTCATCTTTCCAGCATACTGGTTTCTGGACATCATCCCTGAAGAATGGGGCTCAGGACTGAAAATGCGCCGCAATGTCATTCGTCGCATCTGTAAGGACACAGTATCATGAAGGTCTTATTTACAGTCCACACCTTTCCTTAGGGCAAAAGACACTCTGGGCATGGAATATGGGTGTCCAGTGGAAACCCATATTCATAACTAGATATGAGCCACATCAGCCCTTGCTAAAGATATGGCTAAGCCCACCTCAGCTTGTGTGGCCAGGAAAAAAGGGAAAGAAGTTTCTTACTGGAAATCACTCAACATGCCTCATGCTGCTCTAGTAATTCCTTGAGGATGGCAAGGCCCTTCTCTCCTTTCCATCTGCCACTTATGCAGAACTGGTCTCTGACCTGAAACCTACATTCTCACATTGTCAGAAGCTGTCATTGTTTCCACTGAATTCTGCTAGTTCTAATATCAGCCTGCAGTCCCTGTGTTCTCTGAGCTTGAGGCTAGAGGAAAAACCAGTTAGAAGGCTTATGGGGTCATTCAAAGTAGAGAGAACAGGAGCCCAAAACAGAACAAAGGTAAAAGGAGGATATAAAAAAGATGGAAAACATTTGAGAAAAATGAAGAAAGTAGATAGGACTGCTTAATTGAAAATAGAACAGAAGAAAAAAATGGCATTCTTTGAAAAGAACTGTCAAGACTGGCAGCAGGGCCAGGGCCTGGAAATGACTTTTGTTTGCTCTGAACTGGACATCCTCTATATAAACGTGATGAGAGAACAGAAGTCTTCATACACAAAGAACTTAGAACATTAATGAAGATAAGATACATCTACATGCTAACTCTGGAGATAAAAATAAATACATAATAAAGAAAGAAAATAAGAACAAAAACCCAGAGATTATTATATCACAAAATGGTCCTTCAATGCCAGTATAGTTCATATGAGTACATAGCCAGGTGTGGCAGAGAGATAACCAGACAACCATACAAGTATTCTTTTTTCTTGTTTGAAATTAAAAATTGTATCTGTATGTTTAGTCCATTAAAATTGTCCAGTTCTTCCAGGCACAGTGGCTCATGCCTGTCATCCCAGTGACTTAGGAGACTGAGTCAGGAGGATCACAAGTTTGAGGCCAGCCTCAACAACTTAGGAGGCTCTAAGCAATTCAGTGAGACCTTGTCTTTAAATAGAAAAATAAAATAAAAAGGGCTGGGGAGGTGACTCAGTGGTTAAGTACTCTGGGTTTAATTCCCATTGTCAAAAATTAAATTGTCCAGTTCTCTTTTCACCATATACTATACATTCTTTTTTTAAAATATTTTTTATGAGAGAGAGAGAGAGAGAGAGAGAGAGAGAGAGAGAGAGAGAGAGAGAATTTTAATATTTATTTTTGTTTTAGTTTTTCGGCGGACAGAACATCTTTGTTTGTATGTGGTGCTGAGGATCGAACCCAGGCCGCACGCATGCCAGGTGAGTGCACTACCGCTTGAGCCACATCCCCAGCCCTACTATACATTCTTCTTCCTATAATCCCAGGAATTCTGATGGCTGATCCAGGAAGAGCATAAGTTTGAGGCCAGCCTCAGCAATGTAGGAGGCACTAAGCAACTTAGTGAGATCCTGTCACAAAATAAGTAAAAAGTACTGGGGATGTGGCTCAGTGGTTAAATGTCCCTGTGTTCAATTCCTGTTACCCTCCCCCAAAAAATTCTTTGAGTAGTTAAAAGAAATTTCATAGCAGGACACAAATTCCTGCAAAGGCAAGACTTTGCCAAGATGGAGAAATTAAGGCTCAGGAACTTGTCAACATCATACTGTTGGGGCCAAATCCATACAACAGTCTTCTAATCCTCAGATTTTTCATTAGATGAGGATGCTTTTGGCATTAGGGATAAAGTGACTCATGTTTAACACAGTAATTAATGTACACATTTCCACACAACTGACCATGAAGTCATTTCTTTGATTGCCAATCCTGATTTTTTAATAATCCTGACTAATATAAAATATGATTGTCCAAATCTGTGACTATGTACACAAATTTGGGGATAGAGGAGATGCACAGTAGTTAATCCATCTGTTTGGATTAGGCTTTGAATTGTGCATTGGTACTGACATTTGATGACTGGATATATCTACCATTCTGAAATGTATGCTGTGACCTAATACAAACTTCACTGGGAAAACCTAGCTTTTGGTGTAGGAGGGTTGATATGGGTGGGCAGGAGAGTTGTCTTCCCTTGAGATGGTTTAGCATCCCCTCACAGGTGATGAGGGTCATGGCTCTTAAAAATCCTGCTTTTCATAGTAGTCAAGCTTCCTATTTGGCTCAAACATCTCTGAAGTATAAGGTGCCCTTGTACATTTCACATGATGAAAACAGAGATTCAGTCTTAGAGAACTTCCAGACTCCATCTTTATGAAGGTCTACCAGGTTCTCAGCTGCATCTCAAAATCCAGTATACCAGAAATAGTGATACAGTTTTAAAAAGTAAAGAACATGCTTTTTCTGCAAAGTAAAACTGGAAACAAGAGTGGCAATTTGGGACTATTTGTAAGGTTACAGTTCCAGACAAATGTGTAAAGGAAGACTCCAAGATGTACCTGAGCATCACCACTAGCAGCCTTGCTGGAGGCAGGGTAAAGCTCCTGCTCCACCAACTCCACCTCGTCCTCCTGATACACTGAGTCCAAGGAATTTTCTTCAAAGTCTGGCTCCACTGAGGCCTCTTGGGACACTAGGTCAATAACATCATCCTGGTCCATGGAGTCATCTATGTATTCGGAGTCCACTGAATATTCCAAGTCTATGGGCTCCTCTCGTTTCCTCAGGTCCATCTCAGATTCAAATTCAAGGCTCTGCAAAGATGAGGAGGCTGAGGAAGAAAGCATATTCATGACTGAAAAAGCAAAAGTTCCAGTGTTATCAAAGTTACAACAGGAGAGTATGGTTTAATTCTACATTCAGGATGAGGATGTGCCATGTACCAGGAATCATTTAGAACATAACTTTAAAATCCATTAACATTTGAAAATGAAAACAAAGGAGGGAATGTTGGAATTGACCTCTACCTACCCCCTGGCTTATGCTGGTGTACAAATCCAGTCTAGTTGTCACTTCATTATAAAATTCTTTTTCTTCTGCTTCTAGAAATTTCGTACTGTCCAACTAGTAAAACCAAATTAAACCTAGTCATAGATCACTTCTGAACAGTGGGGTTCCCCAGAATATGGGACCTTAAAGATGCTCTTGGAGGTGTTGGGACATGGCTGAAGACCACCTGGAGAACACTGAGTAATGAAAACTGGAGTCACTTTGGAAAAGAGTTTGACACACACACACTTCCCATATGACCCAGTAATCTCATGGCCAGGAATCTACTCAAGTGAGCTGAAACCATACATTCATAAAAAAAAAAAAAACCTCTACACAAATGTTTATAGCAGCTTTATTCATAATCGCCAAAATCTTGGGAATAACCCAGATTTCTTTCTACAGGTAAATGGATTTTTTAATAAAAGCTTGTGGTAAATTTCTAAAGCACAGTCTGCTCAATTATACAAGGGAATGAATTACTGATTGATAAAACATGGAGGAAATTTTTAATTGCATTTTGTTTCATAAAAGAAGCTAGATCAAAAAGGCTAGCCATTGGGGATGAGAATGTAGCTCAGTAGTATGGTGCTTACCTAGCATGCATGAAGATCTGGGTTCTATCCCTAACACTGAAAGAAAAAGCTAGGCAATGTATGATTGTGTTTACTTGACATCCTGAAAAAAGGAAACAAACAGAGATGAAATACAGACCAATGGTTGACAGTGGATGGGTGACAAAGGATGACTACAAAGAGGCAGCACAAAGAAATCTACAGGGTAATGGAACTGTTCCCTTTGGTACTATGGTGATGGACTCATAGCCTGAGTTTTACTGTATACAAATGTAAAAATAAATTGATTAGGATGTGAGAAAACCCAAGTTGGAATGGAGACTGTGACAAGAGAATCTAACTGCAGTACAAATAAATGACATATCCATACTAAAAAGGGTGAGGAATAAAGAGTCCAACCTAAGAAATTTGAAAGCAGTGGTTTAACTGAATACTATAAGGCTAAAGATAAAAAGAAGTATACACACAAGTTAACTCTAGATGGTAATTTGGGTTTTTTTCAGGGGTCTGGGTTATCAATTGTAAAACCACTTTGGGGGGATGTTTTATTATAAATATTCAAACATGAATTTTTATAAATTGATGGGTCTCATTTTGACATTTCCATGTATACATATATCATTCTTTAATCATATGCACTCTCCCTACTACCTGCTCTTGCTCTACTCTCTTGAAACTACTTTTTATATGCTTTTGTGCTTTGAGGGGATCAATAATTTATACTGCACATAATGAGAAAAGGTTAGAATGAATCCTGTGGTACTAGACCAGAGTAAGAGGTTATCAATAAATATTTTTAATATGCTGAAATGAAAACACAGAACATATGCATACATACTTTAATATGCATACACACCTTTCATAGCTTTGCCCACTGAGAGGGTTTAGATGCAGTGGGACACCTGTAACAATAAGTACACCTAGCATCCCAGCCTTCACTTCTAAATACCATTCTCCAGATACAGGACCTAAGATTCCTTAGAGAAGATGTTGATTTTAATGACTTGGAACAACTTATAATATCACAAATAAGGAAGTGAGAAGGAAAAGATGCAGGCATGGTGAAAGGACAAGGGAACTAACTGGAAAGAGCTGAAATTTGGAAAAACATATGATGATGATAACAGGGAACAAAATAATCATAAAAATAATTACACATCAGTCCATCCTATTATAAATGAAAGAATGAATAAATAAATGAATGAGGGAGAAGGAACAACACTTTTTTACAGAAGGATTTCAGGTAATAAACATATAAGGAATGAGGGAAACAGAAATTGGCATTAAGATGTATAGAAGTAGATTGCTATAAGCAAGTTACACTGTCGATGCTGAAATGACTGGAGAGATTAAGGAGAAAAAGGATATTTCTATATTCTCAATGTATCCCCCGTCAAACATTTGGTAAAGTACAAAGGGAAAAACAGTAATTCAACAGGAGTAAAACCTCACAAACACCATCTTCACCAAGTGATCACACTCACATCACTGGTATGAGTGACCAACAACACACTGGTTCTGCTCTGATGCACTGATACAGGTTCACCATTTCTGTGATATTCTTCCCCAAAAGGTTATTTCCTCAAAATCATCTCGAGAAAACATCAAATTCAAATTGAGGGACATTCCATAAAATATCTGTACTCTTCAAAAATATCAAGATCACAAAAGAGAAGAAAGGAATGGAGGAAATTTCCTGTATGTTTTCCTGATACTAGTTATATAACACTTCTCAAAGCCCACAATTATTTCAAAATCAAAATTTAGAAGATAGAAACATATGAATTAGGCAGACAGATGTGAGCAAATTGCCTTTCAGCCATGGCATGAGTTTTAGATGCCCACTTAAAATATTTTGGAAAATTCTGGTTTCTGGTTACTTTGGGTGTTGATCCTTGACTAAACTTTTAACTCCTTTTCCACTATCAACCACTTCCAAAATATGTCTTGCATCTTAACAGTATACTTATCATTTTCTGATTTCAAATGAACAAGCCAAATAAATTATCAATAAATGATAGTGCAATTTGTTGCCCACCTTATTGGAAAAGTCAAGCTGTAGAAGATTTTAAGGATTTTTCCATTGTGTTTTAATAGTAATAAATATGAATAATTCTCTATAGCAAATCTACAAAATAAGTCTTCATACTAGGTTTAAAGCAATCACTACTCCTTTGAGTTTTAGAAATCATAGTTATAAGTTCATGGGCTTCACCTCCTTCCATTGTTTTGAAAGGACTTTTTTTTGGATCTGAACTCTGAGACTAAAAGCAACAACTAAGAATATTTAAGAAATAGAAGCATTAAGACTGAGTTTAGAGGCTGTTAAAACAGAATAAAATATTAAATTAAACTAAAGACATTGCTTCAATATAAGAAGATTCCATAATATGAATCATCTACCATAAGATTCAGCTAATCAGGGACACAATCTATATTATATATCAATCCTTAAGTTTTGCAATTTTTAATCAAATTATATCTCTGCAATGTGTTCACTGTTGAAATTCATGCAAGAAATATCTCAATTTTTGAAAGACTATCTTTTCTCTCTACTCCCATTAAAACTTAATTGCAAGAGGATTCTCTGGAATGCAGAGCAGGCTATATGAGTATGCAAAGATAAAATGCCATTTCTCTAAGGACTGAGATCTACCACCAATCTTTGAAAGATTAAAATTAAATGAAGAGAATAATACCATTTCCAAGCACTTGAACCTGTGATGAGATATTCATTTTTATTACTCTCAAATCATCTCACAAATTTACAGATGAAGAAAGCTGGCATTCAGTCCTATGATTTCACACCATTATCAATAGAACATTATTTTCATTTGGAAAATTGTAACTATCTTTTAAGTCACTATTTTTCTTCCAATATACCTACTTGGTGATTCTGGCATGATTCCAGAAGATGATATGCTAGTGTCGGAAGATGATGATGAACTAGAATCTATCTGAATGATATGAACAGATTCTTGTGCTCCATACTGCTCAACCTCTACAATATCAACTTCATCCTACAGAATTCCAAAAGAGAAAGATGACATTTCATTTTGGACATGGACTGGACAACAGGAAAAATAGAACACAAACTTCAATACATTTCATATCATGATTTCTAATATGAATTCAATTAATTGAAAACCCAACACAAACTTGTCAAACATGAAAAACATTGAAAATTTTGCAGGAAAATATCAGCAAGCAGAGACTGTGGGTGCCACAACATATACATTGCTAATTACAAGAAGAGATAAAGTGTTCTTTAAAAGTGACTACATATCAAAGACCTTAGTTTTTAAAAAAGTGTTTCTTTCAGTGGTGTTGGAAGGATGTTGTCTTCGTTGTAGCCAAGGATGCCATAATCTCACCTTGCATTCTTTATTATTAGGCCCAAACCCACTGGTTCCAAGAGATATGGACCAGTAGCTGGAGAAGTGACCACCTTCCAGAGTTCCTGCACATGCCACCTGGGCTTCAATCAAGGGAAGGCCAATGCATAACAACTACTTTATGATTTTAGGCAGATTATATGGAAAGTAGGACTAATCTAAGTGCTTTTATTAGAGTAGCGGAGAGGTTCCTGAGCATTTCATAAAGTAAGTCATAAGTAGAATAAGAATCTATTGATTTCAAACCCAGTGACATTTTCCCTAAGCCTGGCTACATTTTTTTAAAAATAATTTTTTAGCTTTAGATGGGCACAATATCTTTATTTTTATTTATTTTTATGTGGTGCTGAGGATCGAACCCAGTGCCTCATGCATTTGAGGCAAGTGCTCTACCACTGAGCTACAACCCCAGCCCAAGTCTGACTACTTTTACTTAATACAATGGGGTTATGCCCTGGTAAACTTGTCTGAAGTTGACAATATCCTAAGTAAAAACAAATCATTTAATATATCTAACCTACCAAACAGCACAGCTTAGCACAGTATGTTATAAAGGATTGCTTGTTTGTCTGGTGACCATGTGGCTGACTGGGAGCTCCCGCCCTCTGTCCCTGTACACATTGAAAGAAAGGTATGGAATAGCAGAATATCACTAGCTCCAGAAAAGACCAGAAGTAGAAATGTAAAGCACAGTTTCTCCAAATGTTTAACACTTTTATACCATTCTAAAGTCAAAACTTCCTGAGTTGGGAGTCATTTGTATATTATGTACCCATTGAGTGAATTCTCTTTGAATAGTCGGTGGATCACTGCTCATATGACACTTAAATATTTGGTTTTGCAGTGAAACATTTTACATCTCTGCCCTAATATTTCATTATTTTTTGTTTGTAGCATAGATCCAGGCTGATTTTCCTCCTAGAAACCTGTTTGTTGGATCATATTCAAACATTTCAACTTCAGGAAACTGAATAACCTCACTGATCAAGTGCACTGTGCTTCATATTCCTTAAGTGATATGTTGCTTTAATTACTTAGAAAGGTATTCTGGTGGAGTGGTACCTGTTGACCTCTCTGTCTCTTCTTGGTTCCATTCCTTATCATAGCCATTATCAATTTAATCGCTAACTCCTTGTTTTCTGCATGATTTTCATAAGGGATTTATATATTTGAATGCTGATTAAGATGTCCATTTTTGTGCACACACATTTTAGCCTATCAATAGAAATTCAGTAAGCCTAAATGAACTTAAGTGACAGTAGCATTCACAGTAATGGTAGTTACCTAGGGTGAGGGAACCAAGATTTGGAAGTAAAAAGATATCAGTTTATAATACAATTAGGACTAGGGCCTGAAGACAGTCTTTTATGAGATGCAGCTAGAAGCTTCAAAAATAAAATAAAAATGCATATATGTGTATGGGAAGGCAATCAACATGTTTTTTTTTTCAATTTTGAAAGTTTTGGATTCACTTTCATTCCATAATTGTCTCCAGCATGCTAAGGGGTTTGAAAGGAAGCATGATTGTTGAGGCTGGACATAGAGTGGGCTTCAAATATAGGCTCAAATACTTGATGGTTATATGGAGAGGGATTAAAACAAGTGTGTGTCCCCAGATCTTCACATTTTCCCTTTTGGTAATCTAATATCAAAAGTGTTCTGGCTAATTTTTTAAAAGATCCTTGCGTTTTACTTTTTCTGGGAGGGAGGCAGGAATTGTAGGACTTGCAATAAAAATGACAGATTGAATAGACATGGGTAAAATGCTAAATAAAATAGATAAAAAATTTTAAAATATAATGAGCTTAAAAATCCTCTGTGGAGCACATCTCTTTTCTACCTGTCATCCATTTTTGTTATTGCTCTTACAGCAAAACTTCTCAAAGGGTTTCCATACTGCACCTCCACTTTCACCATCCTCTTCTAAGCCTACTTCAATGAGACATTATCTCCCTGCATTCCTTGTGGTTATGCACCTTGGTGACATCATCCAAGCTTATAGCTTTAAGACCATCCATGCTAATGAGTCCCAAATTTGCTTCTTCAAATAAATAAATGTCCAATTTGATGTCTAATGAGCATATCCATCATAAATATTTTCAAAACTAAATCCCTGATACTAGTCCATCATAGAGAGCTTTTCAATTCTTGCCACAATTTTCTTCATATCAATTAGTGCAACATCACAGTATTTGATCAAGTCAATTACCTTAAAGTCATCCCCAAACCCTCTTTTTCTCACACCCTTAATTAAATGTCAGAAAATCCAAAGGCTCTTCCTTCAAAATATATCTATAGTATGATGACTTTTCAAAATTTCCAATGTTACTCTGGGCCAAGCAACCACCATCTCACATCTGGTTTTCTCCTGGCTTCCATGTCTGCTCTTCCTCTCCATAGTCCATTCTCAAGACAGACACTCTTTTAGTAACTAAGTCAGATTATGCCATTTTTTTCTCCAAACTCTCTCTAATGATTTCCTAATACATTCAGGGTAAAGGCCACAATCTGTACAATGGCTTCAAAGGCCTTACTCCCCCTCATCTCCATCACATTTCTGATTTCACTGATATCTACTCTCAGCTTTAAGCACTCTGCCCCAGCCCTCTCGCCTCTCTCATCCTAAACACCACATAGGCTTCTGCCTCAAGGCCCTGCAGTGCTTCCCCCTCTTATTGTGAGTTCTCTCCCAAGAGCTCTTATCACCTTCTAATATTTAATTTGTTTATTTTGTTTATTTTCTCTTCTGCTGCAAGAATGTGGAGTCCTCTTGAGCAAGAATTTTTCATGATTCTGTTAATAGATGAGTAAATCCTCTCCCACTTGCCTTTAAATGCATTTATAATGTTCAAAAAAAAAGAGAAAATGGGTAATGATATGACAAAAAAAATGGGACAATGTGGGAAATAGATTTGAAGGTAGATGCTTCTTCGTGTAGTAAGATGACATTGATATTGGGATCCAACAGACATAGATTTGAATCATGGTTCTGCCACTTACTATGTGATTTGGGCCAAGTTATTCCATAGGAAAAGTTCAGGATTCATCATCTGTAAATCTAGAATGCTAAAGGCTTAACACATAGGAAGTCCTCAATACATTCTAGATTTCTGCATTATTTTTCTTCTATCATAAGCACTATGTCACCTCCAACTCTCATAATGAGTTAGGACTGATCATCTTAGAATACTTTTTAGATACTTAAATAAGAAATATATTGAAAAGTAAACTATTAACTGCAATGCTACATGCTCTCATGATCACTCCCTAAGCCAGAGTTGTCATCCTCTCATTTACACATAATTATCTTGGGCAGATTGCTTCCAAGTCTGACCTATACTTTGGCTATTCCACCCCCAGCCTCCAGTTCATGCTCAAAGCCAGTTGCTTCTTCAGACTCATCTGCCATCTCCAGGTACAACAGATCTGGGTGAGAAAACAATCTGAAAATGTACAAGCACCAATTCTGCCAAACATATCTGTTCTGTGTAACACAGTGAGGAGCAACATCTTTAGGGAGAGATGGCAGAAATATCAGTAGCTGGCAATAATAAGTCACTAGAGTCATTAGAAGGATTGACTATGGATTAGTATCAATGCTACTACATTAGCCACTGCTGTCCAAATGGTGAGGTGGTAGTTTTGTGGAAAAAAACTTTATACCCAGTGTAAACATCTTTTCCTAAAATCCTTGTCAATTAACAATTGGTTTCATTATAATGTTTTCTTGTATATAGGACTGCCTATTATAGCATAAGCTGATAGACCAAAATATGATGTTCTCTGGCAGGGGTTTGTGTGCCTTAGTATGGTTTGTTCATGTTTCTTCTACTCAGATTTAGTTGAGATCCTTGGCTTTTGTGGTTTATAGCTTTCATTGGATGTGGAAATTTTCTGGTCATTATTAGTTCAAATATATTTCTCTGCACTCATTCTCCACCCCCTGAGACTCCATTTAATGTCTATACTTGGATATTTGTCTTTTTTGTTTGTTTGTTTTATAAACTTCTTTATGAACTTCTTTCCTCATGGGCTTCATTTGAAACTGCTGCTCAGACCCTCAGTTGCAAGTCTGAGCCTTGGAGCAAACTCTCCATCTTAGCTCTGCCCTGCATTTCTGGAACTCTTTTCATGGGTGGTGGGAGACCAAGTTCTCCAGCAACCAACGGGAAGCAAGTGGCTTTGTGTGTGAGTGTCTGTTTGCACTGAGCCAGTCACATTCATGACACTGGAACTGTACCTTTTTCAGGAATGAAGGCTTTTGCTACAAAAACCACTGGAGGCATTTGGATTCCCACGGTCGCCTCTCTCAAACCTGACTTGAGCTGCCAGGACTGAGTCACTGTCTTTCCACTGTGGGTCACATTACTAGTGGCAGGTTCCACCTGTTCCAATATTTAGTTGATGACAGAAGTTACCCTTGAGAGCTGAGTGACATGGGCAGCTGAGAAGGCTTCCAAACCAATTGTGGGAGAAACCAAGATAACCAATCCCCTGCACAAGGGATCGGGAAGGCAATGAGGCCAAAAGAGGGTGTTCTAGCAGGCACCTTTATCCAACGACCTTTGTTAGACTTAACTAGTGGTGGGTGAGGTTATCAGTTCAAACAGGAGCAAGAGACAATATACTTGGATATTTGGAGTTTCCAAAATGTAACTTATGTTCTTTACATTTGTCCTTGCCTCTGTAATTATTTTTTCCTTATGTGCCATTTGGGAGAGTTTCTATTTGTTTGTCTAAACCCTCTAATCTACTAACTCTGCAATGTCTTATCTGCCATCAATCTCATTTAATGTAGTTTCTGCTAAAATTTCAACTTAAGATTTTTCCCCTATCTTCCATACCTCTAGTTAACCTTCTTCTATCTTATTTCCTTCCTTTGTCCCAGTTCCTAGAACATAATGTTAGGTGAGCAGAAGTATTTCTTCAGAAGTGAGAAAGTTTTACTCTGTATATTTGAGGTGCTGGGGATTGAACCCAGGGCCTCATTCATGCTAAGCAAGTGTTCTACCACTGAGTTATACCCCAACTCGAGAGTATAATATTTATTTAGAAGTACTTTGTTAAATGAGAAATAGTTGGATAAGTCAATAGAAAACTCAGCCTTTCATATTTAATATATGTGCTCACAGATTTTCCCCGTGACAGGAGAACTTAAGTACTGAACAGAGCTACTCTCTGCACCATCCTAATAATACACAAGCCTTTTAAGGAAAAACCATTTGGAAGTCTGAAAACCAAACTGACAGCACATCACATGCATATAGCCTGTCTACATTGCTTTTATTTGCATATTTGCTTTTGCAGTACTGGGGATTGAACTCAGGGCTTCACACATGCTAGGAAAATGTGCTATCACCGAGCTATATCCCTAGCCCTCCATGCTGCTTTTGAAATCTCTTTAACATATGTATGAAAAGTCTTAAAAATAGAATTCTTTAACAAAGAATACTCATTTGTGCTTCTCATATTTATGAGTACCTACTATGTGTGTGAAGCAGATGTTTCGACATGAACCTAGGTATATGTTGATCAATAAATAAGACAGCCAAGGGCCTCTGCATTATATTCTATTGAAGGCATGCAGATAATATAATAATAAGATTCCTTTGAGCATTATTATATATTGAGAATTGTTATATATATTCCATTTTACAGATCTCAGCCATAATTTCTTTCTGTAGCACTATTACCCCTGTGGTGGTATAGCCTGTCATGGATGTTACACGCACCCATGAAGTGGCAGGTAAGGTTAAGGACTGCCTTGTCACTTTTTGACTAGGGAATACCTTCTGGAATGTCTTTCCTGTTCTTCTATATCTCTCTTAAAGTTTGCTTTTATTTCCCAGAGTAGAGTTTCAGATCACTGAAGGCAGACCCAGGTTGTAGATTTCTAAAGGATTTGCTCTGGAAACATCTGATGAATTATTAAAAGGATGCTACACTGAACATTTAGGGAAAGGATAGGGACAAACTAGGCTAATCAGGGACTGGTACTTCCATGATGAGATGATGTGGTCTGATGAGTCTGCTCCCATAGCTTAGGGAAGCAGGCAGGTCAGTAAAATTGCATTATGAAATGTATTCATAAGGAGAAAAGACATTAAAATCAAGTCTGGGCTAGCACTAGCTTAATTCTTTTGTGCCTTACTTCAGGAACTGTTCTAAGCATGCCAGTTACTGCCTCCCAATAAGAATGTCTACAAAATGGCAACTGTGGAACACCACTTATAAGAGATACTTCTTGAAATTAAAACCACTCTATAATCAACTTGCATTAATTAACTCATCAACATTACAGGGACAAAGGTCCAGGCTTATAGTCTATGGCTTTCAATGTACATACATCCAAGGAAACAATAGCAGATTCGCTGCTGAGCCGTGATTCCATTCTGTAACTTCGCCTTTGTCTTCGAGGACTTCTATAAATAGATGAAAAGAGAGATGCTAAACAAAGCTCAATAGCCATTTAAATCTAAATTGCATATCATACAATAAAATGAAGGCTTAAATAAGAAAATAATTGTTTTATTTTTCTTAATACATAATATCATCAGACTTTGAGGTGTTACCTTCCTGCACCAATATCTACAAAATAAATGATCTGGACCCTCATTAGAAAAAAAGTTGGTTACAGGTCTCTCTGCCTCATTTTAATAGTGGGGAGTAAAACAAGATTTTTTAAAAAACAAGTATATGAGTGAATGTTCTTCCTCAATTTTTAAACCAAGTGCAATTACAAAAAATGCCTTCTGGCCAATTTTAATTTTGTTTCCTATAATTAGAGAAACTCTCCATTCTCTGACTCATTAACAATTCATTTCTATCAAAATTAGAGTTTTGATGCCCAAGGTGAGAATGCAGTTTCATGGTACACTTCAACTGAAATACTAGTTTGCTTTTCACCAATTAAATAGAAGTTAAAAGAGAGAAAGAGGAGGGAGAGCTAGAGAGGAAGTAGGAGAGAGGGATTAGGGAGGGGTATGAGGAAGACAGTGTGAATAAGAATGGATGACAATCTTACTTTTAATATTGCAAGTAGTTTTCAAGCTTTAAAAAATCTATAACTGAGAATTTTATTATTAAAATGTATTTTGTTTTCAAGAGTTTCTCTCAGCACTGAGGACAGAGCTCGGTGGTAGAGCGTTTGCTAAGCCCTGGGTTCAATTCCTGGCATCACAAAAAAAGAAACAGTTTTGTTTTGAAGGCCAAAGAGTGCAAAGTTCCTATCAGTCCACAAAACTGAGACATGCATCTGATAACAATCTGATAATAACTCTAAGAAAAACTAATACCCCAAAGCAACAAGATGATGACAAAAATGGTATCTGTGAAATCCTTTAAGTTCATTCAGAAGAAACAAAATTAACTGAAAAACTGGATTATTCCTTATGATTTCAAAAAGTGAAGATTGATCCAATGGAGAGAAATTGTGTGCGTTTTTTTATATTTCATAGAACTCAGACAAAATCTATTTTATGCATATCATTCATTTCTAATACTCAACAATTAAGAAGAGCTTGAATATTTATTTAGGATATTCAAAGTATATAATATTAGGAGGTATTGAATTGTATAGCACAAAACAACCAGTTAATGAGATATTTCAGTCATTCATGCTTATGATTAGACCAAAAAATATCAATATGAATTTCTTTTTGAAATAATGTTATTGTATATTTTATAGCTTTATTGTATTTATTTATTTTTATGTGGTGCTGTGGATTGCACCCAGTGCCTCACACGTGCTAGGCAAGTGCTCTACCACTGAGCCACAACCCCAACCTGTCCATATGTATTTCTTACTGATTTGATTTTCAGTGTTGAGTAACTCTGATATGAACAAAATCTTGTGTAAATTTGTCCAGGCAACAATTAAATAATATTCCTAATAAAGACTATTTATATTTTTAACTGTTTTTCAGTCTTTGCCTAAATTCATAAGTGAGTTTAGTCTAAAAGAATGTTTTTCCCCTTAATAAATGCAGGTACCTATTCAAGGTTGTCCTGGGCTTTCTGTTGTGCCTTCAGGAGAGGAACCTGGATGTCTAACACACACCTCAACTCAGCATGGACCAGACTTTTCCTCTCCTCCCTCTTCCTCCTCCTCCACTTCTTCCTCCTCTTCCTTTTCTAGTGCCTCCAAGCTTGGTAAATACTGCCACCCTCCATCCGGTCACTCAAGACTGAAAGCTGAAAGTCATCTTTGACTTTTTCTCAATTCTCCTCTACTTAATAAAAGAGTTTATTGGTACTTTCTAGCCATGGTTAATTTCTTCAAGGTGGTGAACATGCCTTGAACCCCTTAGATCCCAAACACTTAGCACAATGCAGCATGCTTACTATGGTGCTTAATGTATATTAGCTGAGTGAGTAAATGAATAATCAAACTTAGTAGTCAATTCAATCAAAATGTTTGTATGTCTTTTATCTCGAGTGTTAAAGTGCACAGAAAGGCTTCCATCTATCTGTTCCTTTATGTCTAAGGTAAACAGCATTGTCCAATATGGTAGCCACCAGCCACACACAACTAAATTTAAATGTAAGTTAGTTAGATTTAAGTTAAAATTTAGTTATTCAGTCACAAGAGGCATGTTTCAATTTCTTGGTAACTATGTGTGGCTAGTGGCCACTGTGTTCAATGAAGCAGAGTACAGACAGTTTCTGTCATCACAGAAACTTCTTTGGACAGTTCTGTAGTAAAAGATGCAGTGAGTCTTACTGGACAAATGCTGACTTTGTCAATAATATTTTGTGGGGCAACTATGTTTTCCATAATTTTTACCAACTTGCATATTAAAAACATAAATAAGAGAAAGCAATTGTTTTTCAAGTTCTTCACTGAGTTTGCATTTCATGCCTCTAAAAGACACTGTAAATGGTAAATATTTAACTTATAATTAGAATATAAAAGTCACAAACAAGTACATATATTTTCAAAGAAAAACATTCAGGAGTATTTCATACTGAAGTAGTTTATACATGTAAATAATGCATTCAGGCTCTAAATTATATGGAACAGAGGATTTACAACAATATTCAGTGATGGCATTTGGTTAGGAACAGATACAAATATGACTTACCTTTACCAAACTGTATCAATTAATTTTCAAAACACAAAGAAAAATGATCCAAGAGAACTGCTAGCTGTAGTTCTCTAAAAGAACACATTCTAATGCTACAAAATTAAAGCACCACTGTCTCATTAGGTAAAATGTCAAAATATTACTTTTAAACTGGGTCCTTGATGTTTCTTACTCCTATTCCATTTAAAATCTCTTACCAAGGTTTGATATTCATTGGTAAAGTACTAAACACTGCTGAATTACTTTAATGTAAAGTTTTACTTGGCTCAAGAAATCATGTGCTTCTACTTGCTATACAAATGAAACAGTAAAAATGAAAACTATGTCAAATGAATACTGTCTTTCATGGTCAGTGGAGTAAAAACTAAAGGATGTCTTTAACAGTTGTGGCAGAGAGTTAGGAAACTGATGACAGTACAAATATAATCCCTAAATGTCTCCCCTTGTTTCACTGAGAGCTGAGATGATCTAATCTGAAGTGATGGAAGAAAGGAAGACCAGATTTCCCTTCTAGCTTGCAGCTTGTGGACAGAATTAAAAGAGCTAAAAGATTTTTTAAAAATTTTTTTTGGTTGTATTTGGACAATACCTTTATTTTACTTTTATGTGGTGCTGAGGATCAAACCGAGCACCCTGCATGTGCTAGGCGAGTGCTCTACTGCTAAGCCACAACCCCAGCCCCAAAGGATGAGCTAAGTTTTAAGGCTGCTCTTTCCAAGGCTCTACCTTGCTCCATCTGAAATGTGAATTATTTTTGGTCAGAGTGGCTAGCAGGGATTGAAGCCGGTGGCACTTATCCACTGAGCCACATCCTCAGCCATTTTTATTTTTATTTTTTGGTTTAGAGACAGGGTCTCCCTTAGTAGCTTAGGGCCTTGCTAAATTGCTGAGGCTGGCTTTGAACTCACAGTACTCCTGTCTCAGCCTCCCAAGCCACTGAGATTACAGGCATGCACCACCATGCTTTGCTCTGAAATGTGAAATCCTGAGTCAAGTTCCAAGCATCTTTTTTTCCTTCAGGCTCAGCTGCATCCTTGACAATGAGCTTGGTACTGGCACATTATCCTCCAACAGTCACTATGCTCTTATAGGAGATGATCCCCATTAAGTGATTTCCTAAGCTTTATTTCTACAATAGTCCCCTCTTTGCCCCAGTCCCCATTTATTGTATCAGTATTCAGGAGTTCTGCGGAAGGTAGACAGAAGTTAGGGTCATACACCTTAAATCTATACAACTTTCTTGGTCAATTATACATCAATAAAACTGGAAAAATACTGTGATCAACTTCTTGTACAAAAACTAAAATTGCTTAAATTTTTTAAAAATTACTTTGTAATCTGTTGAGTTCTGCACAACTGTGATCATCTCAAATGCCCTCAGCCACTCTCCCTTTAATGAAATGATTTGGGAGGTATAACATTGTACTTTGCTTTTGCGATTGTTCTTTTATGATTTCTAGTTCTCTTTCTTATAAAATGTGTTCCTTAAAGATGTATTGTGAGTTTCTTTGGATACAAGAAGAATCTCCAATGCTGAGATAAGCAGACTGGGGTTAAAGAGCCTGGTTTTTCTTTTTTTAATGAGAGAACCAAAGTGTGATATTCTGAATGAAAATGGTGTGTGCATTTGAATGTGCCAGTCCTCTCCAACAGACTAACTGATGTGTGCATGTGCCTGTAGCATGTGCTGGGATTAGGAGACAGGCAAAAAGTGTGACATGATGCCTTAGTAAATAACTGACTACAATGTGAAAAGAGCTGGTATCTATGAGAGCATGATTTAGGGTCTCTAAGCCAAATGTACCAATAATATCCTTTCATTTCAGTTTTCCTGTCGTCTTGCTCAATCCACAGATATAATATAGATTCCTGTGGCTTTAAAATTCATAGTCTTTGACTAACATTAAACAGAGACATGAGATGGGAGGGAAAGGGAGAGAAAAGGGAAATTGCATGGAAATGGAGGGAGACTCTCATTGTTATAGAAAATTACATATAAGAGGTTGTGAGGGGAATGGGTAAAAAATAAGGAGAGAAATGAATTACAGTAGATGGGGTAGAGAGAGAAGATGGGAGGGGGGATAGTAGGGGATAGGAAAGGTAGCAGAATACAACAGTTACTAATAGGGCATCATGTAAAAATGTGGATGTGTAACCGACGTGATTCTGCAATCTGCATTTGGGGTAAAATTGGGAGTTCATAACCCATTTCAATCTAATGTATGAAATATGATATGTCAAGAGCTTTGTAATGTTGTGAACAACCAATAAAAAAATAAATAAAAAATAAATAAAATAAATAAATAAAATAAAATTCATAGTCTTTGTATGGTTTC